GGGCTGCCCCGCCTGTATAGTGGTAGGGGAAACACTGCATGTCTAGTTAAATAGCATGTGTGCACAGGCAGCTGCAGCCAAAGGTTTTTCTGCACAAACAAAAGCTAAAATAAATGGCGGAGAGCAGAGTGTTTTTTAGCCTTGGTATGACAGGAAACTTAGTGTACTCACCAGGGTTGCACAATATATTGTAAAAATATTGTCAATGAGTGCGATATTTATATCACAAAAAGACTGCTCGGAGTGCAATAATTATTGACTAATGTATTTGAAAAGTTTTTAAGTTGTACTCTTCATGCTAAGACAATATTCAGTCAGTAGGACTGGGTCTAAAAGCAGTAAAATCTCACTCCAGACACAAATAATGTTGCCAAAAGGGCTACAGGTCACAGAGAAAGAATCAGAGGTTAGACAGGGAGGAGAAAAAAAAACATTTACAAATGTTATCGCCATCGCAAGATTTTCTACTATCGTGCAGCTAGGGCTGCAACTAACGATTATTTTAATAATCGATTAATTGGTTGATTCTTTTTTTGACTAATCGATTAATCGGCCAAATCGTTAAAACGCTTAATTACATGAATATGGGTAGATATAAATTAAGTTAACTCCTTAAGGATGCAAGTTATTGATAATGAATTAATCTGAAGTTGATTTATCTTATAGATTGATTAATAATTAATTCATAATCAGTTTTCTCTTGAATCAAGAGGGTCTTCCCATAAAATGAAGGATTTTTTTATAATCTCCTAAATTAAAAAACAGAAGCACATAATACATATTTTAACAATTTATTTTGCCAGCTGTATTAAATACTGACTGAAAAAATGTGTATTTCTCCTACATGAAACCTAACATAAATTTAGTAGGTTGCTGAATGAGGAAAATAGATTAAAATAATAAAATATGATTTTTAGATGTAAAACTATTATTAATTTATTATAATTAGAATTTTTTTACATTTAAAAATTGTTTTTTTCTCTAATTCTTTACTTTTTGTTTCATTCTTGTTGGTTCTGTTTGACTAAAACATTGTTTGACCCTAGGGCTGCCACAAACAATTATTTTTTATAATCTATTAATCACCGATCATTTTTTGATTAGTCGACTAATCGGATCATACGTTAACTGAATATAAATCATACAGCTTATTGCACCAAAATGCAGCTGCTATTATATAACCATGGTTAGATTTTAGCTATATGCTAACTAAAAATAATTGCTGTGGAAGGTAAGTTCTGCTCTGCAGATATTACACAGGTTTCTCTTTCATTTTCTTAAAATGATCCCACACTTTGAGCTCCGTTGTCAGGTAGCCATGATACCAGAGCCTGTCTGTATAATGTCTTGTGACGTCCACGGCCTACCCCAGTTACCACTACTGTGCATGTGTGTCAAAGACAGAAAGGCAGATGTGGCAGTGGAAGGTGTCAAAGCAGTTTGGAGAGAAAAACAAATTAATTGATTAATCAATTGCGTATGTTGCGGGTGTTTCGGAGAAACTGAGACGTTTATTTTCTAAACATGATGTCCCAGTGGCTTTCAAACTCCAAAACACATTACGGCAAAGGCTGGTTCACCCCAAAGATCCGGTGCCCCGGCACAAACAGAGCAATGTTGTATATGCTGTTAAGTGCCAGGAGGACTGCGACCAGTTATACATCGGGGAAACAAAGCAGCCACTGTTCAAAAGAATGTCCCAACACAGACGAGCTACATCTAATGGCCAGAACTCTGCAGTTTTCACTCATTTACAGGCCAGCGGTCACTCTTTCAGAGATGAGGATGTTCTCATTCTTGATAGGGAGGAACGTTGGTTTGAGAGAGGAGTAAAAGAAGCCATTTTTGTGAAGAAAGACCGTCCATCATTAAACAGAGGTGGAGGCCTCCGTTTTCAGTTGTCCCCCTCCTACAGCGCTGCCATTGGCAGTATCACTCCACCCCCTGTTAACAATAGGTGTTAATTAGGTGTCAACGATAGCCATGTGATGTGAGTATCAGTCACATGGAGGCAGGGCTTAAAAGCCTGAATTTTGCCTGAAACTCTCAGACTGAAGAAGTCTCTTGGAGGAGAGACGAAACGTTTCATTAAAGAAGAACCCGTCCAGAAGACCTATACGATTTTTTTCTTTTTGAATTTTTACCTGGATTACTGAGATGCATCAGAACAGATTAATCGATTATTAAAGTAGTCATCGGTTATTTTAATAATCGATTAGTCGTCGATTAATCGTTGCAGCCCTACGTGCAGCCATAGCCAGATTAGATGTAAGTGATCACATCCACCAGGCCTGCAGCTCAGTGTAATATCAGGGTTGCCAGATAATCATAAAAACGCATTCCGCCTGCTTTTCTGTGCACATGTTCACTAAACACAACACCCTCACAAGTCTGAATCAAATTACAATTATTTTACAGTAGCCATACAAAAGGTCACAAATTCCTACCTGGCAACCCTGCCTGACATGGAGTTACATGGCCTGAACTGATTGAGCCTGTTGAAGTTATCTGAATGTGAAGCTGTGATCAGAACCACTTCCTCCATGTTTGGATGAGCACGACTGACAGAAAGCAGCATGTAAGGTCCGGAGCTGCTCAGAACCACGCTTCTGCTCCCACTGTAAACTATTTTAATGTAAGAAACGAGGTTTCTTCACTCTGGGCCGGTTCGGTTCGTTTTTTGTCGGGCCGTGAACAAAAATAAAAACCGAGCTGAAGTCCCATTTCAGGTCAGGAAGAGTCGCTTGGACTAGAAGCTACGACTCAAACATTTAGTTTCACAGACGGATGTTCGGACGGTCACTTACCGGATCCTTCAGCTCGAACTTGGGTCAGCTGAAGCGGGTCTGGGAGCTCAGAATCTCATCTGGTTCAGTAAAACGAACAAAACAGACGATAACCTTCACGTTTTCCTCTCAAACTTGTTACCGCGCATGCGCAAGATTCTCTTCTTCTTTTGAAGCTTCGCCGCTCTGAGTGTCGCTGCTGCCACCTGCTGGGCTGACCCACTTCCTACAAGCAAAGAGCTGAAAACAATGGGGCTACAAACCATTATTGCACTTTACAACACAGTTACAAAGCAGTTACAGCATGCAAACCAGGGGGAATGAATCTCATACACGAGAATATATATTTCATAAAATGACAACCGTGAAACTGAAGTCAGCAAAATAAAATCAATCAGAACAAAATGAAATCAGGAATTTCTAACCACTTCCTACATAATGCATTCATTATTTTTTGTTATAATCCTTTGATGTTAACTTAGTTTTATTCCCAACACTGAAAGGAAATTGTAACATTGTGTAAAATGTGAGTTAAAAACAGAACGCAATGATTTAGATATTTCACAAAGTTACATTTTATTCACAATAAAACATGCTAAACAAGTCAACTATTTAAACTAAGAAAAGATCCCATATAAAATTAAAAATAATTTCCGAATTTTGATGTCAGAAATGTCATTTTAAAAAGTTGCTCCGGGTCCGTCTCTTCTTGAATTGAAACATTCCTTGCTTGTACACACCAGTGATAAATCATGCATTTTAACCTCCCTATCATAGTCTGTCTTTGCATTTTTTTAAATTTGTTCTTTATGTTTTAGTTTCCTTGTTTCTGTTTCCTCGCTGTTCTCCTGTGCTGTTTCTCTTTTCCTCTCTGTCTGCTTCCTGTCTGTCATTTTTCCAGCCACCCTCACCTGTTGTCCCTCCCCAATCAGCCCAGCTGCCCATGTCCTCATCAGCTCTTGCCCTGTATTATAGCTCTCTCCACTCCTCACTTCAGCATTCTCTTGTCTTACCTTCTGCCCTCCCATGTGTCTTCATTTTTGTGAGTAGTTTTGCTGCCACGCCAACCTTTTTTTCCCATTTATTAAAATGTTTTATTTTAAGCTTTGAGTCTGTCAGCTCAGGGGTCCAGCCACCGACAAATCTAACACTCCCTGAGATTTTACAATTCATATTGATTTGATGCATTTTTATTATCAACAGACATGAAAATAAACAACAAACACATTCAGAGTTATAAATTCCTAATAGTAATGAAGAAAACATCGACAGAATATATAACTAGATACCACATAGCATAACCCTCACATACACAGGCCCCCATTCATATGGATTTTATATCCATCCCACCAACCATACATGACACGTGACTTTAGAAAGGTCATTACAAAAAAATATTTTGTTCATGGAAAACAAACAAAAAATAAATCAGATCAGTTCTCAGTACGTTATTTGAGTAGAATGACTTTTATCTGTTATTATTTTTAAAAAATCTGCACAACCTTTTAATAAATATCAGTAATATTTCTGTTATTAATCATTATTCTCTGTTCATCATTCTGGTTTATCCAAGGCCAAAGATCAATAGGGCCAAACTACAGGAGTTGTCCATCTGAGGGACAACTCAAAATCATCAAAATTCTGAAATGATTTTAAATTTTACATGGGATCTTTTCTTAGTTTAAATAGTTTACTTGTTTAGCATGTTTTTATTGTGAATAAAATGTGCATTCTGTTTTTAACTGACACCCAGAGCTGAGCTAGCGGAGGGAGACGTAGGACCACCGTGTCTCAAATAAACACAAAGCATCTGTCTACGAGGCGTAATAAAACCGACGTTAAATTGTTCACTCTCAGCGGTGTAGAAGTGATAGAAACATCATGAAAATTGTCAATAATCTGGCTTAGGTGGCGGATGTAGAGGAGGAACAGGAGGGGCCCCAGGATTGAAACCTGTGGTACGCCACAAGTGAGTTGGGCTGGTTCAGAATAAGTTTGATTTCCATGAAGCAGCTCTGTTGTCCTCCATCCATATTTTCGGTTCCAGGCTGAGTCATTTCCACCTTCTCCTTTCTGTCAACGCTCTCTGGTTTCATTTAAAAGAGTCGATCATCAGATATTGTCCAAGATTAACCTTCAGGGTGGATGTCCACAGTATTCCTGATTTCGCTCCACTACCCAATTCATATCCACATTCACGTGCATGAGGTCATATGTACTAATTTCCCCAGGAAATTGTATTGTAGATGCTTTATAATTATAAAAATGATCAACAGAGAGCGTTTTGAGTAGAAGCTGTTTTGGGTGGACTTAATGAACGTGCTTATGGGGCTTTTGGACTCAGTGTAGGTCAGAGAGGACAACATCTGTGCCAAACTTCATCAAGATCAGATCATGTTCATGGATACAGGCCTGAAATAATCATTTTCAGTCATGTGTTTTGATTGTTTTGCCTGCTGCTTGGTGTCATGAAATGATAGCCCTTCATCAGAGCTAAATTTAGCTGTATCTGCCCACTGTGTTGAATAGTTTTTGAGACATAAGCATTTCTGTATGTACAGACACCCCCTTTTCAGATGGAACCCCCTCTTCAAATGTGTGGTCTATCATAAAACCATTGGCTGGCACACTGTAGATCCCTGTATTAGACTGGAGACCTGTCCAGGTGTCCCCCACCACTCCCGTAATGACTGCTGGAGATAGGCAGGCATGGAACCAAGGAAAAAGTGGGTGGCTGGTCTTACAGTTCTTCTTTTACCACCAGATGGAGGCAGATATAAGGAAGCAGGAAGCTGTGGTCACAAATTCTATTGCTGTTTTAGACTAAAAGTGAAATGCTTCCTCTGCCTCAAGTGGAGGCGTTTCAAAATCAAACGTTACTTTCTCCTGTCGTTGATCCAGCCTTGGAGGTCAGCACCTGCTGTTACTTTCGGACTCAGCCCAACAACAAGCAAGCATCAAGTTAATATGCATGATCAAGATGATCAGACGAGTAGGATTTTTGAACTTGAACAACAGCCAGTGTGAATCAAGGCTAAAAAGCTGCGATTTGACCACTCACTCACTTAACCAGGACATGACCCGACGAGCCCAGAGAGAGATACCTTCGCACCAGAGATTTTGTGCTCGCAGGCATAAGAATAATAAAAACCAGTGACTTCAGATAAAGAATCCTTTGCCTATGTCCTACAAATCAAAGACAAAAAATGTAAAACATGTTCAGTGCTCGAGGGATAATGTCCACAATGAGGATCTACAGGAAGCCTTGTTTTGCGTGTGCACCTGAGTTTTATTAACTTCTGTGTAATTATGCATAAAATCATTTAATTTACATTCATACTCATCCTAATTCATGTTTCAGACAAAGAAAGTAACTTAGGTAACAACATGATTAAGCAGAGATGATCTGACACTTCATTTGCGTAGGATTGAGATACAACCATCTCCCAGGTTCTTAAAAAAAGCAAAAGATACATATTCACACCAGAGGCATGGTGATTAACTTTCCTTCAGTCTCTGCTTTACTTCACACTCAACTTCTCATCAAAAGTCTCTCCTCTCAATGGTTGAAACTGACAGTTCCAGAATTTACAACCACCGATCCTCCATCCTTCAGTCCTGGGTACCATTTGTCCAAACTCTGCAGATCAATCTGATGTGGTTTCTGTTGATGTAGATTGTCATAAGCATTGACAGCAGGGTGATAAGGAATCAGTTCTTGTTGCATGACACCCCCAGATGATTTTTGGTTCACACGTGTAATCCTGAACTGATGAGGGAGGTGGGTACGGCCCAAGTTTTCATCCTCAGCTTTCCTTTCAGTAGGCTAGAAGGAGAGAGATGCATTGATGGATCTTGGTCTTGTCTGTAGTCACAAGGGTTTTATTTCAATCTGTCATGAAGAAAATCTGAGCTGAAAGACAAAGCTCTGGATTTACTCATTCCAACTCTCACCTGTGGCCAGGCGATCTTAATGGGAAAAACGAGATCACAGATACAACTGGACTTCCTGGGTGGCGATGATGCTCAGCTTTAGAGACGGGGTGAGGAGCCTCCCCATGTACAGAAGACATTAGTTGAAGTAGTCCAGGCATCAGCCGCCTGAACACCTTCCTCTGGTGGTTTTAGGCATGTCCCACTGGAAGGAGACCCAAAACAAAACTAGTTGAAAGGATCATATATCCTCTCTGGCCAGGGAATGTCTTGTGACCCCCCCCCATCCCAGGAGAAGCTGGAGAGTGTCTCTGGGGAGATTGAGGTCTGGGTTTACCTTCCAGACTCGACCAGAGAGAAGTGGTAAATTGATGAAAGTTTGGTTTTATGTGGTCTGTCTCATTGATCTTTTTTCATCAGTCACACTCTTTTAGCTATTTATAAATCAAAACATTCAGCTCATTCAGGAAACAGGCATCCCTTTTAAACAGTAATACCAAGAGTAGTGAGACTGAAAAGTAAGAGACTTGACTCGAGTAAGAAAAATGTAAGTGTTATTTACAATGTATGTCTTTAGAGGAACAGGGAGGATCTGCAGGAGATATGAGCAGGTTCCTTTCAGATTTATATTCTTATTGTCTCCAGGGTAGACCTATGGTTTTCTGTGTCTTTGTTGTTCGCAGACTTGGAAGACAGAGTATTTCAGGGCAAGTAGGGGTCTCTGTACGTGTACAGAAAATGGACGGATGGATGGATAGGGGTCTCTGTAGTACATAGGGGGAGGTTCTTGTTGTGTGGGAGTACTTTGTCCTAAACATGATTGATGGAGTTCTTTGTGTGGGTGGTGTTTGTCCTATGATTGGCAGAGTTTGGATAATAGATGGAGGTTGGGTGTGGGCGGAGCTTGGCAAATTTGTGTTTGTTCATATTGACTTGTCTTGTGAGGCAAGTTAAAGAGGCAATATCATGTAAAATCAACTTTTTTAGTTTTATATCATGTTATAATGTTATACTTCTATAAAAAATATGCCCAAAGCCTTGCTTTGATTCATTCATGCATGTTTGAGAAATCCTGCAGCGTTTTTAGGAAGCCATGCTGAGGAGCAAAACGACAGGTGGGGACCAGAAACACCTTTTGATACAAGAAACACCCCTGGGACGTGTCTTTAAGCCAAACTTCCTCATCACGGAGCACACCTCTCCACCCCCCACCCCACACACCCCACCC